GTGTACATACGACAACTGCATAGGGGCATACATACATACATACATACATACATACATACATACATACATACATACACACATACATACACATCCATCCATCCATCCATCCATCCATCCATCCATCCATCCAGACAGATACATAACATGATATACTGGTATGTGTCTGTCTGGACGGATGGATGGATGGTCAGATGCAGTGGGTGTAATTATGGATGCAATAGTGGTAGCGGAGGAAGGATAAGCGGAGGACATGGATGTAATGGATCTAGTCGATGTAATGGATGTAATGAATGTAACCGATGTAGTGGGTGTCATGGATGGATGGATGGAATGTATGTATTGTATGCAGACATGTATCCATGCATTGGCGCATGCATCCATCTCGCACTGCAGATATGGGCCCGAGGTATGACTGGCTGCTGCAGTTCGAAGATGGCAAGCCAGCTATGGGATGGGAGAACTACCTGTCGTACCTGGTGACCTCCCTAGCCTCCGGTCGCTCCAACTCTTCAAGTCAAGAGTTTCAGGAAGTTTCAACGTGGGTCCACCTTGCACGATGGGTGCTAGTTCTTGCGGGAGGGCTTCTAGCACTCCAGGCACTCCATAGACCATGCCTTAGTCTGGACTCGTCGGTGGAGGTATTTCCCGTCTTGCTGGTTGGCTTCACGGTCTTTCAGCAACAGCAGGTTGGATCCTGCGCAGCAAAACCAAATACCCTCCGAGCTTTTGCAAGCAGGGCAGTCCGTGTGGCCTCTGGAGGCTCAAGCCGCTCGCCCAAAGACTGGCAACGACGAGGATCCCCAGAACGTGGTGCTGCAGGCCACGAAATGCACACACCCTCGTAATGAATGCGACGAGCTCGAAACGCAGACATACTGAACGGCATCGATAGCACGAGCATGCATCTGGATCATGTACGTGCCAGCGCATTGACTTTTTATCGTTGGGAGCCATCCTTCGGACTCAGGTGCTGCCGTGGATCTCTGTTTACTTCATCGGCAGCTTATCCCTTCAGCTTCCGCAGGCAATCTGCAGGGCGTTGACTGACGTCCGCACGGGTGTGCTGAATCGATATATGCAAATGTTGTTGGCAGGCCGTGTCTGTGTACTACTCCATGAACACCGCCTTGTCAGTGGCACAGACCGCCGTCGTGATCGCCCCAAGAGTTCGTCTGCTAAGCAGAGTGTTTCCATGCCTCGCACATTGTCGCACCGCCTTCTCAGGTGAAGTACGGATTGCGGCAGGAGATCCCCGGCTATGAGGAATTCGAAAGGAACACTGGAGCGCTTTGATGAAGTTCTAGACTCTGCGCCGAGTGACCTTACAACGCCACCCTTGCTGGCACTGGGGAGGACTGGAAAGTTTCCGGATGGCACTTTCGAGAACATGGTGAGGCTCAGCGCTTGATTTCATTGTTCCTTCGCAGATTTGCATCCGGCGCCGCCGGCGCTCCTGACATGAACGTCTTCGCAGGTCCCAAACGCCGCCACCAAAGACACTCCACGAGGCCATTCCTTGGAGGGTCTGCCTTCGACTTGGGCGTTACCACCATGACCCGGCCCGTCATCTTTGCGGCCAGCGGTCCTAGGAGCCTCTAGTCAACAGGACGTTACCATGGATGTGCCAGCCTTATCTTAAACTAAACTGTCTAAACCTCGGTTGAACAGGCTGCGCTGAGAGGAGAGGCGGGCCACCCAGATTTACAGCCTTCCCGGTGTCAAGAGCGGTGAGATCGCCCCCAGCCCCAAGTGTTTTCAGGTGAAGTTCATAGAAGAGATGCTGGCAGATGAGAGTCTTGGCATTCAATCCTGCTTTCCACCCTGTCACCATCCTGTACCTGGGGTCACATGCCGCAGTTGGACATTTTGCCAGCAAGGAGCGTAGACATCAATAAGTGGGACGAGAAGAAGATTTCGCAGACGGCTCAGTCTCAGACTTCTTTGGCTGCAGGCGGCTGTCGAGCCTGCTTTTGATCAGCTCTCCCCGCAGGCCTTTGGGCTACGCCGTTGCTTGCCAGGGCCCTGGCAATCGTTAGGGAACGGACATGGGCATTCCGAGTCTCAGAGACACGAGACAGGAGTGTGTAGCTCAGCTCTTGAAGTGACAAGCGTAAGCAGACTCAAGCGTTTTGGGCGAGTCTTTGGTTTGGATTCCGGACTTCGGAAGCAAATTCCCTAGCTGGCCTGGGCTGTCAGGTGGCCACCTCGACGCCGTGAAGGTGCTTTTGAAGAGAGGCGCGGTGCATGCGACGGCGTTCAGCCACGCTGGGCCGAGCTACCAACATGCTTGTCCAAAGGTGCTGACGTGACCATGAAAGACGGTCAGGCACCGATCTCATGTAGGGATTTAGTCAGACTTCGGTGGCCATTTTGAACGAAGCTGCGAAGCAGATGCAAATCTGAGCCGGTAACTGTGCAGGATAATACAATGCTGCACTACGCCGCCGGTTATGGCCACATGGCTGTCCTTGAGGAGGGGCACCTGGCCTGGATTCCATGCCGGGCTAATCTTAGCTCACTCAACAGCTGGAGCCTTCTGCAGGAGTTGCTCGAGGCGTGTGACAAGGTTTGGAAGGACAACGACTGGTGCACATTCAGAAACAGCCAGGTGCCCACCGGTTATCAGCCTTGGAGGAAGGCCTTGACACCCGTGAGCTAGTCACAGATCTCGAGCACCAAGGCAAAGGCCAGAGCGTCGTCGACGCTGCGCGTGTGAACAGGAAGGGCCAGGCTGGAGAATATCCATGCATTGAAGTGAACCGCAAACGACCGTGTCTGGGTGTCCTTATCGTTCCCTTTTGTCCTCCGCTTCCTTTCTGGCTTTCGCTCCCAGACGTGCGCTGAACGAATGGCCGTTGCTTGTGAGAAGGAAGAAATCCGTGATGGCCAAACGACTTGAGCATACTGTAGCTTCAGTGGTTTTCTTCAACGTCTAAGTCAGGTTGTGGACTTCCTTTGTGAGCGCCTGGGCGTCGAAGCCCCTGCCAGGACCCTAGTCATCAGGACAGCCAGATACCTCCGACATTTTCGGAGCCTCCCCAACGGATCTAAGGAAGTGAAGGCGCCAATCGCCGTGACGGCGAGTGCCAGCCTGAGGTTTGTGAGGTCTCCAATCTATAGCCTAGCCGCGTTCAGCGAGTTTGCATGCATATCAGGATCGCCCTATCCCCGACAGAAGCGCCTCGAACAAGATCAAGTCGACTTCTGACTTTTTTTTGCTGAGGTCCGGAAGCCGGCAAGGAGTCGTCGGAAGCAGTCCGACACCCGGTGCGGGGATCGGACACCGACCGATACAATTTAGATATCAGCACAATTCATTGCATGCAGTTTTTCGTGCGCAGTTTCGTGGAGCTGATCGTTACATATGCGTATCCATGCTTGCATGCATACATCCGTCCGTCCGTCCGTGCATACATACATATATGCATACTGACATACATGCATACTGACATACATGTGGTATAATGTTTACACATGCATGTGATTTGAACTCTTTGGCCTATGCGCCCCTGTAAATGAAGGAAGGGGATTGTGGCCGGAAGGGACGAGGCAGGCAGCTTTTTCAAGGCAATACTGTATCCTAAGTTTTATCCACTGTGTGCTGCTATATACTGTTATACTGTACTTGGCCACAGCCTATGAGTGACTTCCTAGCTAGCTTTGTCAGTCTGTGGGCATGCTGGGACTGTGGAAGCTGAGGTTCCGGAATTGTTCGTTTCGTTAGTGCGGAAGATCTTCTCATGCTTGGCCTCTGTGAGCCGCTGGTACGGTCGTAAGTGCAATCTAAAGTAACGCCCACAGACATTTCTCAAGGTCATCCTGATCTGCATCGTCTCTACCCTAAAATTTCTAAAAACTTATACTGATACTGAAGCACCCCTGCATACTCGCCGGTGCCTCCCTCAAGGATCGGGCCCGAGCTGCACTTCTTGCTGCTGCCGGGGGTAAGGCCGAACGTGGGATGCGAGTCAGATGCACATGCTGTGAACAACTTTGTCTCTCTCCACCTCGGTCTCTTTCTTCCCTCTTTCTTTCTGGCACAGCTTCTCAAGCCCTCTCGCTCCCCCAGCACATGTATACTTCATATGGACAAAAGTTTGTGCAAGTGCTTGGATACCTGTACATGACGATGCAAATATCCGTTATCTAGTTATGCACGACATGTGTTTCTTCATGTGCCGTATGTATGTGTGCACGCGCGTGTGTGTGTGACTTACGTACTTTTGTACGTATGTTTGTAAGTACGTATGTACGTAAGTACGTATGTATGTAAGTACGTAAGTGTACGCATGCATGCATGCATGCATTTGGCACGAATGTAGTTATGTACGTATGGTATGTGTTCGTGTATGTACTGTATGTATTTATGTACGTTTGTATGCTTGCATGTTTATGTATATGTGTATGTGTATATATGTTTGTTTGTTGGTTTGTACGCATGTATGCATGTATGCAGTGTGTGTATGTATGCCTATGTGTATGTCTGTCTGTAAAGACGTAAGTAAGTAAACTAGTAAGTAAGTCTGTGTGTATGTACGCATGTATTCAGGCATGCATGCAGGTACGCACGTCACGGAGCAGTGTATGCACAAGGAACGTATGTATGTCTGTGTTTGTGTATGTCCTTTTATGTAGGTAGGTAGGTAGGTAGGTAGGTAGGTAGGTAGGTAGGTAGGTAGGTGCGTAAAGACTGTGTACAAATTGCAGAATCGTCGACTGTACTGATCAGGGCTTTAGTCAGTAATACATGCTGGTGCTGTCGGAAGGGGTGTAGGGCCAACAATATTCATGCTGAGGGCTCGGGCCTTCCCATTTTGAGATTTTGGGCCTTGGGCATCTTGAACATGCATGGGGCTTGGGTGCTGCTGGCATGTGAAGCGTTCGGCCTTCCCGAGCGCATTCTTTTTGAAGGTTTCAGGAGCTGGGTGCTGTTCGCAGGAGGAAGTAGGCTGGGGCTAACAATGTCCCTGTTGAGGGTTCGGGCCTTCCCCAGAGCACTTTTTTGAGGTCTTGGTTCCTGGGAATCTCGAGAATATGTGTGTGCTCGGGGCTGGGTGCTGTTGCCGGGATATGGAAAGGAAGTTAGTCGTGAGGCACGTAGGCATGTGCGCATCACTTCATGTGTCCATGCATGTCTGCCACTTGGAAATTCGGCGTTTAAGCTTGCAAGGTAAAGAAGCCGGGACTCCCTGTCCCGAATGACAACTTTCCTCTGCTTGACTGACCGAACCCATCGCCGACTTGATCATCGAGGGGTAGGGTCGTGTGCCCTGGGAAACAACCACAGCAGCGGCACCTCAAAACACGGATGCAACAGAGAGCTCGCTCGATCGACCTAGCAACTTGTCTTGTGATTGAGGTCTCGGCTCTCAAACGTCCGAAAATCAGGGACAAACATGGTTGTTGCTCAGTCTCTCTTGAATTACAGAGATCGAGTTAGGAGTCTCTGCTATATTCAGTAATCCGCCCTCGAATCGGCGGTTACATGTGCGGAGTCTCTACGTAGTAAACCCTACGGTCGACAAGGACGGTACGTTCTGTTGGATTCTTTTGGGGTTGTGCCAAAGGTGCCCGCAGCACCAACTGGAGGAGCTCCGCCCCAGGCTGGCAGGGTGTGTGTGTGTACGGGGGCTAGGGGTTCTGTCCCAAAAGCTTCAATCTATTCGAGTCTTTGTTAGTCTTGTCAGGCCGGCGAAGCTGCCACGGCGATGCGAGCTGCGGTGGAAAAGCTGAAGTCCAATCCAGAGGACGGCAAGCTGCAGACCTCAAGTTTTCTTGTCTCCGGGCAGTGGACACCTGCAACAAATCCTCTTCACCACGCATTGGCTGCACTTCAGTGCTATCTGTAGCAGTGCATAACCCAGTTTCGGGATTGAGCGCCTTGGCTGCTGGCTGCAGAGAGATCTTGGCAGGCGGTCGAGCAAGCCCGCAAGATGATGGGCAAGATTCCGCCACAGATGTTGCAGATGTCCGGGCCCCGAAGCTTTCGGCTCTGCGGAAACATTGCCGTCCAAGGAGCCCGCGGCCATCACCAGGCATTGGAAATACCGAAATGTAAGGTTCCTCGATGATAAGCGGACGGGGTAAGCTGATCACGACAGACATCGTCGAACCATGTCCAGCGCGGAGTCTGTCACGATGTCTGGTGAGAGAAAAACAGTAGCTGTAAGCCGAATCAACAGGTCGTTGCGTGCTGCCCATGATGCCAAGACTAAGAAGTGCGTTGCGGAATGTTGTGGATCCTGGTGGTGTACCTTAAACAGCCGGTTCTCGAACAGAATTGGGCGAGGCGAATGGTACTCGTACCAAGCACCAGCTTGTCTTGGTGGACCAAGGCTTTCAGGCAACAAGATCTCAGCCGAGCAGGCACAGAAGGCAAGGCATGCTGAGTTTAAGTTTTTCAGGATGTGCCCACTTTTAGTCTTGAAGGCAATGGACGCGATGTCCGAGATGAGCACAGAGGAGAGAAGCTCCAACAGAGGAAAAGCGCAGCCTTCAAACATGCTCAGGACCTCTTGGAAAAAGCGGATCTGGCGGCCGACAAGCCTTGACCTCAGCCAAGCTCTGACGGGAGCGTCGATGTAAATCTGCTTCCGAGGTTGGAGGGCCAAAAAGAAACCGTACCACCGTCTCCGGCGCCGGGAGCCTAGAGGGAGCCATGCTCATGCAAGGTTTGACACGGGGTCGTTTGTTGGATGTTTGCTTCCGTTTCGTGACTTCTGTATTTGTGTACCTCCGTGTGCTTGTGTTCGGCTGTCAGAGGGGGGGCCCTTCCTGCAAGCCGTGCTCAGGCCTGGTGGCGGAAAGCCAGCACGATCCGTCGATTGAGAGCTAACCCGGCCTTTGACTGCTGTTCATCCGCTTGAGCGTCGGTTGAAGGCATTGATGATAATATGACATAGTATGTTTGGTGTGAGTGTAAGGATTCCGATGTACAGCGAAAGTCACCAGCTTCTGCGACTTTCCGCGACGGAAGTCCGAAGCCAGTCATCTCTCCATCCTTGATCTTGCCGTATGCACCATGATCGCTTCTGGGTTGCCGAATCGGCAGACCTGAACACGATTCAATGGTTCAGTGTCCGTGACCATGGGAGATGGTGCATCCATGGGTTCTCAAGGGTGACCTGCCGACCACTCAAGCCCATAGCGTCCTACGACTGCCCTGCAGCCAACGTGTCGAGACTTAGTTGCGGCTTTATGCTCGGCACTGGCAGAATTTAATCTATTTACTTCGGCTGCCGCACGTTGACCACTCAATCTTGGCTGCGCCCTCTGACTCAGACTGACACCAAGTGTAGCAGAACAGAATGATTGGTGACCGCCACACCCAAGTGCAGGTGTGTTTGTGCCACCCAGTTTTCGTTCTCGTTAAACCAAGTCAGGAAGAGCCATGCGCTAGCCATGTGCAAAAATGAAGGGCCCAGACTTGCGCCCAGCAGCTTGAAGCTTCCACGGTTCATGCAGCTACCGAATCTCTGCCGGAACCTTCAGGCGACGAATCGACCGGTCAAGACGGCTGGTCAACAGAGCGTGTAGCGTGAACAGCATGCTATGGTGCAGAGATGTGCAGAGCATACATCGGAACATGGCACCTACCTGTCCTAGGAGGCATAATGGCGAAGCAGATCAGCACGGCCTGGGCAGCTCCGTAGCACGCGGAGCCCGTAGTCACTGTAGTGAGCCTGTTGCTCATGGCCGAGGTCCAGGCAGTGGAAGGCGGAAGCCTTTGGTGCACTTTGTTGCTCGCTGTCGCGAGGGCGCTCCACCTCCCCCTCCCGCGATGCCATGGGCGGCACCGACTCAGGCGCGGGCGGTTAGTCTAAGAGGCAAGACGCTTGACCATGCCTGAGCCGGGCATGGTTCAGTCTCGGTTTCTCTGCCGTCTTGGCCTTGTCGTGTTGCGATGAGAGGGCGCTGCCCAGTTCAGATGTGAAGTATGCAGACAGGCCATGCAGCCCCCTCCAGCTCCACAGTGGAAGCGGCCTATCTGAATTCTGAATCAATAGATATGTAAGACTTAGGCCCTTTCAACTTGCCTCGCTAGAGCCGCAAGAGGACCGGTTTGCAGGGAGAGACTCGGAGAGCCCAGTCCGCTGAGTCCACCCACTCTGGGCCCACTGGGCCTTGGCTACGGCGGCTACGCATCGATGCCTGCTACAGCGACAGCACCGAACCGGCTGCAGGCCAGGCCAGTAAGTGCGAACTGCGAACTGTGTCCAAGCCATGTGCTTCGAGCGTCAGGTTCACAGTGAGGACTGCGAGGTGGCAGCAGTTTGGAATGTCGTTGCTACTGCTGGAAACATGAGTGGCCATGCCTTGTGCTCCGTTTCAGGCCTTGCAAATGCGGCCGTCCCCTGCCGCCAGTCCGTCGAATGCTTTGGCCTGGGCCTATCTTCAACTTAGAATCACCGGCATGTCGCTAAAGGACAGATCTGCCCGGGATATACATGAAACCAAGGTGCGTTAGAAGGAGCCGTCACCTAAGGGCAAGAACTCAGCTTGGAACTACAGGACTGGCTAAGCAGCAGCTGGATTCGATTAGACCAAAGCCTTTGCCTATGCTGGTAGCTTGGCACATCGCCAACTGAGTAATTGTTGCTTACCTCATCCGAAAAATAAAAGCCAAGCTGGACTTGATGGGAGCCACCATAAGTCGAGGAGAAAGAGTGCAACTTCTAGAGCCTGACCAAACCAGAAGCATAAAGCAGAAGCAAGAATTTGCGCCTTGCAGGATCGAGACATTTTCATCGTCTAGGAGTCTAGGACGTGTTGATGCTTTTTGTGTGCAGTGTTGGGAGGCATGAGGCAAGAACCACGCTGTGGTCTCGGGGATATCTGAGACACCGACAAACATGCATGGGGCTGGCTGTCGTAGTTGGGTACAGGATTAGACCTCCTCCACTCGCCCCCGAACGAAGTCTTCTTCCAGGCCCCGCGAGGCTCACGAGGGCGTCCGGAGCCTAGACATCCCAGGAACTGCCAGGTACATGGTTGGTGTTAAGTCGCACAAGTTGTAGCAGTTCCTCCACCAGATGCGGAGATCTGGGCCTTGGAATGATGGGCGAAGAAGTGCGGGTGGTCTTGAGTTGGATCTTCGGATGCAGGGCAGGTTTTGTACAATATGTCGTGTGCTCAGGATCCCGACAGGAAGTCTATGTGCAGGATCTTCGAGACAACCGGCGTTTCAGGCGGACGGCTTCACCACAAGTTGGAAGGGCTGTAGGACAATAGGCTGGTATCTTCGTGCAGGTCTGTCTCAAACCGACGGGCCATTCAAGCGATGAACAGCAAAGCAGGCTGGGAGTGGCGGATCACAACGGCTTTCATGCATAGTCGCATAGCTCGCATAATAGCTTGCATAGGTGCCAAAGAACGAGACCGAGAAGGACTTTCGCTGCTGCTGCTACTGCTACTGCTGCTGCCGCTACTGCTGCTACTACTACTACTACTACTACTACTACTACTACTACTACTACTATTACTCCTACTACTCCTACTACTACTACTAGGACTACTCCTGCTCCTACTCCTACCACCACTACGACGACGAC